CCACATACATACAATATAAATATTTAACAGTGCTCTCATATAAAGAGGGAAACAGAGCTCTGGACTTCCAGTTAAATAAATATGGCTCGTTGAATACCAATGCTTATCTCACCTCCCCAAATCCCACTAAAAAGACAACCTTGAAAGACGAAATAAAACCTAGGAGGACAGACAGAAAGGGACAGGAAATAACTGTGAAATAGAGATGTCAATGTATTTCTGAATGAAGGAAAAAAGAGGGATGACTAGTAACAGATCTAGTAAAACTTGAAATCCAACCCAGGTGCCTGTGGTGTGGGGCTGGTAGGGGCAGGGTGGATGGACCCTCAGCAAGAAGAAAGCCAATTCTCAACTGAGATCCTTCCAAGCTAGGGATTGGTGAGACCAGAGCATGGCTCTATCTCACTGGCTCGTTATAAGGATTAAATTAGCTAAAACATGCAAAATACTTACAATAGTGCTTGACATCCAATAAATGATAGCAACCATTATTATCTGACAAAAGACTCCAATTTGAAAGCCAAAAACCAAAATAAACAACAGAGACAATCTAGGAAGCAAAAGAAAACAGCAGAAAATTACAATTAGTATCCTCACTAATATGAAACAAGAGAGGATCCTGAATCCACAACACAAGAGCAAGAGGCTACCAAAAAGGAAAGTTGGAGAACCAAGAAAAACTCTTGGAAATTAAAATTTTTGTATCAGAAATTTAAAAAATTCAATAGAAGAATCAGAGGATACAGTTCAGGAAAATCTCTTGGAGAGCAGAATAAACAAAACCAAGAAATGGAACATGAAAGAGAAAAGTGTAAAAAATAAGGGAAGTGTTCACAGAGAACACTTCCCAGAATTGAAGACTATGTTTACTGATTGAAAGGGGCCACCCCATGCTTAGCACAATGAATGAAAAAGCCTTTCAGGATGCATTATTATGAAAGTTTAAACATCAAGGATAAAGGGGTAAAAATATCCTAAAAGTTTCCAGAAACAAATGAACAAACAAAATTTATATAGGAAGTAAAAGAAATCAGAATAAATCAGACTCCTCAAGAGGCTAACCACATGAGAAGCTAGATGACAATGGATCAATGCCTTTAAAATTCTGAGGGAAGACCAGCCTGGACAACACAGCAAGACCCCATCTCTTAGGAAAAAAAAAAAATCCAGGTGTGGTGGTGAGTGCCTCTAGTCCCAGCTATTCAGGAGGCTGAGGCAGGAGGATCGCTTGAGCCCAGAGGTTTGAGGTTACAGTAAAACTGCAATCCAGCCTGGGCAACAGAGCCAGACCCTGTCTCTAAAAAGGAAAAAAAAAAAAGAATCTGAGGAAAAACAATTTCCAACCTGAAAATCTGTCAATCAAGGGTGAGTAAAAATAAAGCCATTTTTAGACAAGCAAGAACTCAAAAATTTACCTTTCATGAACCCCTTCTGGGTAATTAATGGAGAATGTACTCCTCCAAAATGAGAGAATAAACCAAAAACGGAAAGACATAAGATCCAGGGAGCAGGGGATTTGGCACAGGAGAGACAAGAAGAGAATCCCCAGAATGTGGCTGAGGGATATCCTAGGACAAGAGCTATGCAGCTAGGCCCAGAAGACAGGGTGGAGCAAGAGCAGGATGGATGTAAGAAGAGATGTCACCAAGGGAAAACAAAACAAAACAAAACACTGATAGATCTCCTGATTCATTTGACCAGATCAAGAGATATTTTTTACAGTTCTGATGGAGTTTGTGAAAGAATTAATAACAGATGCATAGATAATTAAGTGAATTTTAAAAAGACCATTTTTAACATAAGAAAAAAGAAGTTATTCAATAAAGTGAATATAATGTTAGTACAGTATCTACCTCAATATGGTGAAAATATTCCATAGTTACATTAATGTAAACTCTGACTAGTAATTCCATCTACCAGGCCAAGTGTCCACTGATGGTCACAAAAAAGGAAGAGCAAGTACAAACTCCTGGAGAAAAAAAGGAAGGGGGCTCTTTTTTTTTTTTTTTTTTTAAGACAGGATCTCATTCTGTTGCCCAGCCAGAGTGCAATGGCATCAAGAGAGGGGACTTTGATAGGGGGGGTTCAGCCTCAAGGTTCACTCCTTCCTGACTTCAACCCTCACCTTCCTGATGAGGAATCCAAACCCGGTATCTCCAGTGCTGTGCCTTTCTGGAATCCTGTAATTGTTACTGGACAACTCTTCTGGCCTATTGCCACTCTAAGTGTAGAATCAATTTCTCTTTCTCTCTTCCCTAACTTATTCCTCTATTCCTCACCCTTTCCCAAGCCGATTCGTCATACCTTCTCCACTTTCATCAGTGGCTCAGTGACACTACTATTTTTCCAGTCTTCTGCTTTTACTTTTCCACTCCATCATTTCCTATACCTGATCTCTTTTAATAGGCTGTTTAAAGCCTTCCAAAGGCCCTGTCCCATCTCCAGCTGTAATGTAGTACGTAGCTCATATGAACTTTATAAACTATACAATGTGACACAAATGTAAAATACCAATATTATGCAGATTTCTGAAATCAACTCTGGCTTGGTTACTTTTATTAATAATTATCCAATTAGTATTTGTATAGAATTTTTAAAATAGCATTTATTGTACTTTCTTCTGATTGCTAAAGTATAAATGCTCATTGTAGAAATTTTGGAAAATACAGAAAAGCACAGGTCAGGTGCTGTGGCTCATGCCTGTAATCCCAGCACTCTGGGAGGCCGAGGCAGGAAGATCACTTGAGGTCAGGAGTTCGAGACCAGCCTCAGCAAGAGCGAGACCCCGTCTCTACTAAAAATAGAAAAATTAGCCAGGCGTTGTGGTGAGCACCTGTAGTCCCAGCTACTCCGGAGGCTGAAGCAGGAGGATCACTTGAGCCCAGGAGTTTGAGGTTGCAGTGAGCTATGATGATGCCACTGCACTCTACCCAGGGCAACAGTGACTCTGTCTGAAAAACAAAAAACAAAAAAACACACACACACACACAAAGAAGATAAAAACAACCCCTATTCTTAGGATGAACATTCTGATGTGTTTTCATCTATTCTCTATTCCAGGTGTATATGATTTATTTTAAAACTATAAAACAAATACTGTGATTAGACTGTACATATATACCTCTTTGTAGCTTTTTCATTTAATATATTAAACAGTTTATGTCAGTAAATATTATTCCATGTCATTTTAATGGCCGCATGGAATTCCATTATAACTATCCTATTATTTATTTAACCAACTCTTATTACAAAGATTTTGGTTGTTTCCAGTTTTTTCTTGGAAACATTTAAGGCTTGGCCAAGCTCTGTGGCTTACATCTGCAATCCTAGCACTCAGGGAGGCTGAGGTGGGAGGACTGCTTGAGCTCAGGAGTTCAAGACCGGCCTGAGCAAGAGTGAGACCCCATCTCTACTAAAAATAGAAAAATTAGCTGGGTGTCATGATGTGTGCCTGTAGTCCCAGCAACTTGGGAGACTGAGGCAGGAGGATCCTTTGAGCCCAGGAGTTTGAAGTTGCAGTGAGCTACAATGATGCCACGGCCTTCTAACCAGGGGGATAGAGTAACACTCTGTCTCGAAAATAAATAAATTTAAAAAATAATAATCTTTAAGGTTTCTGATATCTAGTGCTAAACTGGCCTCCAGAAAGGTTTTAACAATTTTTGGAAAAGGCACAACTTTTCAGTGCCTCTGTTTCCTTCTCTGTAAAACGGGGATAATAGTTTATTACTACACATATATTATACATACTTACTATGAGGAATCGATGAGTTAATAAATGTGAAGCTGAGATGGAACTGGCAGGCACTGCTTTGGAAACTGCTTTGGCATTGCTTTAGGCATTGCTTTGGGCACTGCTACCAGCATTACTTAATTGTGCAAACTGTTTAACTGAGTCAGGAAGCCTCAAAATAAAGTTTCAAACTACCCTGATCTAAACAAGATGGAGACAGGACAAGTTCCAACGGGTTAGGACCAAGTTGGATAAATTGACCATCTCTTGACTCTACAGCTTCATTATACACTTCATTACCATAAAAGTTTCTGAGAAAACCTGCCACTCTCATCATGCACCTGATGCCATGAAACTTTCTGTTTGACCACATTTAGTCAAAAGGAGGGTGTCACTCTAATTCTTGGAAAACATCGCTCCTTTCCAAGAAATAACAGGAATATTCCTCCCCTTGTTTAGCTTATAATTAAGCTCTTGCTTAAATAGAGGGGCTAAAGGACCATGTGGCAGGTTCTCCTCTGCAGGGAGAACTAACCTCTACTCTCTGTGTGTGGGGTAGATTTTCTATACTTTCTAAGTAAAACTCACTTTTACTTTATACCGTTGGCTCGCTCCTGAATTATTCCTTGCACTAAGCCAAAGAAGGACCCAGTTGGATTTCAAATGATTCCCTGCATTGGGAGTCACTTTGCTGTGTCAAAGCTATAAAAACAATACCTGGAATAGAGTAAACCCAGAAGAGAGGTAGCTATTATTATTTTTTTGTCAATCCTTGCTAATAAATGGAAAATGACAGTCGGCTATTTTAATTTACATCTCCTCAATAATCAGCGTAACTTGACTGTTTCTCTGTGCTTAAACTGGCTGTACTTGTGTCAAGATTCCTTTGTTCAAAGCACCGGCAAACAGGATCTCACTTGATCCTCCTAATAAACTCGTGAATCAAGAAGATGACCATCACCAATCCCCACTTTTTTGAAGCTCAGAATTCTGAGCAATTCCAATTCCCAGGACTCAGATGTCACTCTTCAAAGCCTAGCAGCTGGTCCGGAAAATATTTACGAGAAAAGCTTTGTTAGTCGCAAGTCCCCACTACCCGCGCCAGCGCCCCCAACCACTCCCGGCAGCCTCCGGCCCCGCCCCCAGCGCGGGCTTTCCAGACGTGCTCTCTGCGCACGCGCAGCCGCTCCTTCGGCGGAAGCCTGAAGGCGCGAGGCCTTCTGCCCCTCCCTCCGCCCCGCCCAGTCCGAGGGGCGGCGGGCTCGGAACGTTAGGTCCAGCGGGGAGAAGGTCAGGATTGCTCCCGCGTGGGGCGTTGTCTGCGACGCGGCGGAAGCCCTAAAGTCCCGAGACCCGGTAGGCAAAGGCACCGACTCCCGAGCCTCTCGGTCGGCGTCTCCAGCCCCCCGCCGCCATTTTGCTCCGAGAGAGGGAGGCGGGAGGGAGGCGGGAGCCGTCCCCTGGGGCCGGGGCGGGGTCGGGACGCGGGGGGCGGGTCCGGGCGGGCTGTGGGGCCCAGCGGCAGGCCCCGGGAACGATGGCTGCGGGCGGAGTCGGATGGGAAACTGTCAGGCCTGGCAATGGTGGGAATGCCCTGGTCCGAAGGCCAGAGACTGGTGCAAGACTTCGGCTGGCCTGTCCCTCTGGGCCTCTGTGTCCCAATTATGACAGTCCCACGCTGGGTACAGCACGCTATGGTGTATGAGACGATTTCTCATGGGTCTTCTCATTTGATCCTCACACAGCAGTTCTTGGAGGGAAGCCAGGGAAGGGACTATGGTCCCATTTTGCAGAAAGAAAACTAAGGCTCAGAATGGGGAGGAGACTTGCCCAGGAGAACCCAGCAAGGTCGTGGCAATGGGACTCACTCCACCAAATCCAGTGCTCTTGCCGTCAGGCCACTGTGTCTGCCTCACCTGGCAAAGGAAGGGGCTGAGCTAAGGGATTAGTTAGGTGAGTGACTGGCAGGTTGGGTTTTTTATGTTTGTTTTGTTTCTTTTTATTTTGAAGATCTGACTTTTTCTGTATCATCCAGGTCAGACTTGACTGAGAAGTATCCAGAAGCCAAGCCATGGATCCACCTGCACGTAAAGAAAAACCCAAAGTTAAGGAACCTGTCAGCAGAGTTGAGAAGGCTAAGCAGAAATCAGCTCAGCAGGAGCTGAAGCAAAGGCAAAGAGCAGAGGTGAGATTAAGTGGAGGCTCTGTGTGTAGCCCACTGGACATGAGGCTGCAACAGAGAAATGGTAGAGAGGAGAACTGTGATGGGGAGCCCTACTTGCCTCCAGGCAAGACAGGTGTTCTCCCAGGTTTAGAGAGATCATTGAGGTCCAGAATGGTGAGGTGGCAGCCCAGAAGCACGTGCAAGCTAGCGTCAGAACCCCAGCTTGTGCCCCACCTCCAGATGACTCTTGGTGCAGTGCTTTTGTGGTAGGGACCTGAGGGAAGGAAGAAAGGAGAAAAGAAGCGATATGTAAGGGCAGGGAGGATTCAGAATGAGAAAGAGAGCAAGTGTCAGATACCCCTTCTGGAGTTGGTACAGAAAATAGCCACTCATAACCATATAAAGTCCCAAGTTTTAAACCCACCAATGTGTTCTTTGTTCTCTCAACACATAAAATCAATTTGAGAATGAAAAGCTTTAAACTTTCTGTTGGCAATGTTGAACCACATCCACACATAAGCATTTTATTTTAGTATTTAATATCAGGAAAAAGTTTGCTATTTGTTTTGTTTATTTGGTTGTTGAGAAATTTAAAAATACAGAAAACCGGACTGTTAACAACAAACACCTGGGTGCTCAGCACCCCTGATTGGTAGTGGTTAGCATTTTGTCATATTTGTCTGGAGTCTTTTTAAACTAGGATAAATAAAAATTACAAATCAATTTTAAGTCCCCTTCCTCCCTTTCCTGTCTTATAGCCTTTTTCCCCTCCCCAAGGGCAACTACTTTTTTTAATACTCAAATATATTAATAAATATCCTTGAACACCATACAATATTGTTTTGTGTTCTAAATTTTTATATTAGTAAAAGTTCCATTTTATTTTGCATTTTGCTTACATATGTGTTTTAGAGCCATTCATATTAATATAAGAATCTAGTTTACTCTCATGATTCTTTACAGTAGTCTATTTTATGAATCCATTTTATTTTATTTTATTTTTTTTTTGGAGACAGAGTCTCTGTTGCCTGGGCTAGAGTGCCATGACGTCAGCCTAGCTCACAGCAACCTCAAACTCCTGGGCTTAAGCAATCCTTCTGCCTCAGCCTCCCAAGTAGCTGGGACTACAGGCATGCGCCACCATGCCCGGCTAATTTTTTCTGTATATATTTTTAGTTGTCCAGATAATTTCTTTCTATTTTTAGTAGAGACAGAGTCTCGCTCTTGTTCAGGCTGGTCTCGAACTCCTGACCTCGAGCGATCCTCCCGCCTCAGCCTCCCAGAGTGCTGGGATTACAGGCGTGAGCCACCACGCCCGGCCCCTATGAATCCATTTTATGTAGTATATTTACCCATTCTTCCAGAGATGGACACTTAAATTATTTATAGTTTTTTTTGCTATTACAGACACTGCTCTAGTGAAAAACTTTTAGGTGTCTCTTGGCACCTGCGCTAGAATTTCTGTAGGGTATTTAACTAGAAGAATTATTGGGTGCGTTTTCAATGTTGCTAGACAATGCCTAATTGCTTTCAAAGGGATTGTACAAGTTTGCACTCCTGCTAGCAGTGGGAGAGTTCTCGTTCATTTCTTTTCTAACACTTGCTATTGTCAACTGTTAATCTTTTTTGTTTATCTGATCCATTCGTTAAACAAATAGCTGCTACTACATGCCAGGCACTGTTCCAGGAATTTGAGGCACATGATAGAACAGAGCAGAGAGGAACCCCTGCCTTCATGGAGCTTGCATTCCATGGGGGAGAGGCAAGAGGCAGACAGTAAACATAATAAGTAAAGTTAATGGTATGTTTGAAGTTAACCTGTAAACTGAAATCTGCTTAAACCTTTGGATTAAGGCAGACCACCCGAGAACTGTAGGCCTAGGTTCTAACAAATGGTTCTGCCCTTTCCTTTACCTCCCCATCCCCACCTGGATCCAGGCCCCCAGATGATTTTACTGCCTGTGCTTTGGTGAACAATTTGAGGGTTGCCATAAGAAACAGCTGTATAAAAATGGCCTCTCTAAACTGTAAGGATAGATGTTGAGGACATTGTTTATGTCCTTATTGACACCTTTCCTGTGAGGTTTCCACAGATTAAATTTATTCGTCTGACTTCAAATCCCAGTTCCTCCATAAATCCCAGTTCTTCCCATGTGACTTTGGACAAGATACTTAACCTCTCTGAACTTCAGTTCCTCCTTGGTGAAATAAGGACGATAATACCTATCTCACAAGACTGTTAAAAGGAATAGAAACATTACGTGTAAAGCACTTAGCACAGTGCCTGGCACAGAGAAAGCATTCAATAAACAGCAGTGATTATGATCAGCAATCATTGTGCTTCCAGGCAGTCAGCTTGCTTTTATGGTGTGGGTTCTAAATTGAACAGTTGCTGGTGTTCACGTTGGCTTGCTGAAATGTGATGTTGGGTTTGCATTCTTGCAGCAGCTGAAATGTGATGTTGGGTTTGCATTCTAGCAGCAGCTGGCACTTGTGGAGCTCTTGAGATGTGCCAGGCCCAGGCCAAGCTGCACATGCAGGAGCACATGTGGTCCTCACACCAGGGATTCAAGCAGACATTAGTGTTACTCCCATTTAACCTTGGTATTAATAAATCCTTCCTAGAATAAGGTAGGGATATATAAAATAGATGAGGTAGGAGGTGTTATCCTCACTGTAAAGCGGTGTGCCTAGAGTCCTATAGTTAGTGAGGGACAGGACTGCAGTCTAAACAGATCTGACCTTCGTCTGCTGCTTTTTGCTTCGTCCTGCAGCTTCCTTGCCATTTTCTTTATCTGTATTGCCTGGAATATAGTGTCCTACAATAGGGATGTGACAAGACCCCTTGTGGGGAGGAAGAGATGGAGTTTCCATTCAGTTGTGCAAAGATTCCACATCCCAAGAAGGCGGACATGAAGGAGGAGGTGAATGGGAGCAGACAGCACATTTGGCAGTTGAAGCAGCATTCAACACTGCTAGGGACCCTTTGCTTCTCCACTGAAAGTCTTTCATTCCTAGGCTTGGTCACTCTGACCCATTTTGAATCTCTACTTTCTCTGCATATTTTATTTCTTCTCCTACCATCTTGCCTCCTTGGTCTGGAGGTCTCCAAGAAGCTATTTAATATTCCTCTCAGTACCTGGCACAGTAGTGTGCAGATTACAAATGCTCTTCAAATAGTTATTAATGAAACAGAGGTTTTAAATATATATATGTTGGCCGGGCACACTGGCTCACGCCTGTAATCCTAGCACTCCGGAAGGCCGAGGTGGTGGATCGCTCAAGGCCAGGAGTTTGAGACCAGCCTGAGTAAGAGCGAGACCCCGTCTCTACTAAAAATAGAAAGAAATTGTCTGGACAACTAAAAATACATATATATA